GATGCAATTTTTCCATCACCATAATCTGAACCTCAGTATTGCATAAGTAATAACCTCCCCCCTCCCACCCCTGCCCTTGGTAACCACTAAGAAACTTTGGTCTCTATACATTTGCCTGTTCTTGTCTTTTTATGTAAGCAATGTTATATACTATTTCCCTTTTGTGATTGGCTTATTTCACTCAGCATAATGTCTTTAAGATCTGTCCATATTGTAGCATGTACCAAGACTTCATTTCTCTTACTGGCTAGTAGTATTCCATTGTATGTATGTACCACATTTTGTTTATCGATTCATCTGCTGATGGGCATTTAGGTTGTTTCCACCTTTTGGCTATTGTGAATAGTGCTGCAGTGAACATTGGTGTACAAGTATCTGTTTGAGTCTCTGCTTTTCAAGTCTTCTACGTATCTACCTAGGAGAGAAATTGCTGGGTCGTATGGTAGTTCTACTTTTAGTTTTTTGAGGAGCCACACTCTGTTTTCCACAATGGCTGTACCATTTTGCATTCCCACCAGCAATGGATAAGGGTTCAGATTTGCCCACATCTTTGTCAACATTTGTTATTTTATGTTTTTTTTTTTTTTTTTTTTATCTTAGCGGAAGTAAAATAGTATCTCATCGTGGTTTGAATTTGCATCTTTCTGATGGCTAATGATGTTGAGCATCTTTCCATGTGTTCGGTGGCTATTTGAATGTTCTCATGCTAGGTTTTTAATTTTTTAAAACACAGACATCAGAGAAGAAAACTTCATGCTGGATGTGATTTGTGGGAGGAGAATGGCTCTGGGCTGGGGAGGTGGGGGATAGGGCCCCTGGTGTGGAGGGAAAAAAAAAAACAGTTGCCATGGAGTTGATTCCGACTCATAGTGACCCCATGTATGTCAGGGTAGAACTGTGCTTCATAGGCATTTCAATGCTGATTTTTTGGAAATTGGTCACCAGGCCTTTCTTCCAAGGTACCTTTGGTTGAGCTTGAACCTCCCAGCGCATGACACCACCATTTGCATCATGCAGGGACTCCCCTGCCCCTTGCAACTCATTTGCTTTGTGCTTTGCTTGAAATCCTCACCTGGTCCCTGGCCTCCTTCAGCAGGGCCAGGCTTCTCATTTTTTTTTAATTGCAGAGGCAAATTAGGAAAAAGCCTTTCTGCCTTATTTCATTTTCTCTTTCCATTCCAAATAGAGTAATTGCTAGGTGGTGCAGATTGCAGGTGGGTATTGACCATTGCAGGTGCCGGCTGACTGGACTTTATTCATTTGAAAATTCTGAAACCTGAAGAGCCTACGGTGTTGGGACTTTTCAAAGCCCTTTGGTCACAATTCTTGGAGTGGTTTGAAATCCTAGTAAAGCTGAATCCGGAGCCAAATGGTTTGTAATTCCAGTTAGATGGCAGTGCAAGATTTTGCTTCCCTGGCTGTCCTGGAAGGCGTTTCTGCATTCACTTTTTCCTGTGTTTGGCTAAGAAGCCTTTTGCCTCTCTCTCCGCACTGTGGTCTGGGGAGGGGGAGGAGAAGGCTAATTCATGTCAGATGGAGGGGAGCTGCGCGAGACCATGCACTCCCTCGCCTGGCTTTTGTTTCCAGTTTCTGACTTCCTCTGTCAGGCAGGGTAGAAGTGGATGCGGAGGGACTGCCTCTTGGCTCTGACCGGGCCCAAGCCTGAAAGAGCCCTTTCAGGCTGCACAGAACCCAACCTTTTCTCTGGGACATCCCAATATGCAGGGTCAGCGTAGTACATTTCCTTCTCTCTGATTCTCTGACCACCTTCTTGGGAGGGTTCCTTGCTCAAGGCCCAGCTCAGTCTGGGCCAGGCCGGAGGCCGGCTCACCTGCAGGCGGCCTGGGTGGGGCAGAGCTCAGGCAGCCTCCGGGAAGATGCGTCTGTGTGCCCTGACCCCTGGGCGACGGGCAGTGTTCACACTGGAGCCCCGGTGGCAGCGGCGGCGCCGCCAGGTGAGTGGCTAGTTGGTTGGCGGGGTGGGAGTGGGCTGCCCTGGAGTGTGGGACCAGGGCTTAGGCGCAGGGGTGCTGGGGCTCTTTCAGGCAAGCACGCACGTGGGCTGCACTCATGTGTACGTACGCTCTCATGGGCTCATGTGTGAACGGAATGTGTGTCTGTGTGTGTATGTGTGTGTGCATGGGATAGGGAGAGGAAAAGTAGGGCTTTGCCTGGTGGGAGGCGTAAGCATCTAAGGTGTTAGATACTTTAGGCTTAACTATTTCTAATCCATTTGCATCTTTATAAAGCTTCCTTGAAACATTTTCTCTGGAATGGAAATACGAAACTGTTGCACAGCCTAGGTACTCTACCGTTGCTTCTTGCAAGGAAAAGGGCATCTGAGATCTGCACTAATGTCTGTGGATGGGCCGAAAGGTTGGGGATAAGTACTGTGTCCTCAGGGTCAGTGTGCATAACGCACAGTGCCTTTCAGTTCACAGGATTGTCCTTCAGAGGGTTTAGATTAACCCGAGCTGATGAGAGGAATTGCTGTCTTAGGCGTGCTCTCTCTGAGTCTGATAATCAGGCATTTATTTAATTTGTTTTCCCAGAATTTTTGAGATGTTCTGAGGAGTGAGAAGCCACCAGGATGTCAGCTATTTCGTATGGCTTGAATTGCATTGCATTCCGATGTTCAGTTTAATAGCCAAAAGCTCTTGCTTGGAAGCCTGGGAACAATGAGTGGCTTGTGCGTGGAGGGCGTCCCACGGTGACTGTCAGAACTGGGACTGCAAGATGGGCTGGGAGCCGGCTCCCACGGCCGGGCTCAACTTTGCTGAGGCGGGACATTTTCGTGGCTGTTTAATTTCAGAGTAAAGTTGATTTGGGAATGTGGTTTTGTTCAGTGTCTGCCTCCATAGAATGCTACTGAAGATTTTGCAGGTACCGAAATACGAGCCTAAATCACCTTCCCGCAGGTAGGGTTCAACATTTCTTTAAAGGAGAACATAGCTTGGATTGTACTGATGTTGCCTTGTGCTTTGCGCTTGTAAGTGTTCTGCTGCCGCTGCATTTAGCAGGGAGAACCTAGCAGAGAGCTGTGCAGCTTTGCATTTCTGCGGAGCATTTCCTGGCTAAATTTTGCAGAGATTTTTTTTCTTTCTGAAAAGAGACCTCACAATCAAAACCAGCACTAATTACTGTGTACCCCTCAGGCAGTCCTTGTGGAACCAGCAGTCTTGCGCTCTACCTTTCCAGCATTTTGCTCCTAACAATTAAATGCAATTTAGATTCCTGAACTGAGCCTGCTAAAAGCTTCAGTATTGCTGCCACCTCCCCCTGAGCGTTCCTTGGCCCCAACTCTTTGGGAGAAATGAAAGCACAGTATCAGGTGAAAACAAAGGCCTTCTAATCCTGTCTGGTCTCATTTCACAATAGAGATGTTATGTACCGATGAAGCATGAGCAGATGTTATTACACTATCTTAAATGGATTCCTCAGAGATCCAGCAATTGAAATGGCTTTAGCTGCAAAACAGTGCCTCTGCTGTTTCCTTGTTTGCATCTTCTAGCTATGGACCAGTGGGCAAGGAAACTGTAGGATAACAGTGTCTCTTTCTCCCTGATTGGAAAAAAAGGTATTTGTAAGGAATACAAGGTCATAGCATCCCTTCTTGGCCTGAAGTCTATTGCCAGTTCACTCGTTCAACAAATACTAATTGAGGGTCCACTGTCCACTGCCTGCCAGGCGCTGTGGGAGGGCCTTGGGGTACAAAGGGGGAGGAGCCCAGCCCCCTGCCTTTAGGAAATCACACTGAGCCCAGGAGAGATAAGGCGTTTAAACAAATGCTGTACTATGAAGAGTGTACCAGCTGACAGATTGAGATTCGAACGCTTCTTCCTGTCCCAGGAGTTGAATCTGGGTTTGAGTCATATACCCTCATCAATTGGCCCTTAATGCTCTTTGCACCTTAACCATCTCTGTTTTCAAAGCACTGATGATCATGATAACGGCGAAGAAGGCCATACTAGTGTCATGAATTCCCTAATTATCAGCAGTATCATTCCTCATTTTCAGTGCTTTGAATACATGACCCCTGCTGTCAGCAAGTACACAGCCTCTTTTGTAAGCCAGACACAAGCATATGAACAAACACATAGTTACAGTGCCTTAAATGCATACAGATCCTTACGTTATGGTACTTTTATGTACAATGGCGGTTCTCAACCCTGACTGAGATCAGGATCACCTGGGGGAGCTTTAAAAAAAACACCAGTCCTCTGGCCCCACCTCCAGACAATCTGATGTAATTGGTCAGGGGTGGAGCCTCAGTGGTGCTGCTTTTAAAACCCTCCCCAACTGATCCCCGTGGACTGCCAGTGTTCTTAACAAGGATCCATAGTGTAGCGTTGAGTCACTTACAATAGCTCTGTTAATTGGCGGGATGGGGAGGAGACCCTTTCCATTTTAAGCTGAGGCCCAGAGAGGTTGTGACTTGCCCCAGGTCGCACAGCTTATACTGCAGGAGGCTGACCTGGTGCTGAGACTTTTGCTTAGTTCAGTGGTGTGATTTGCCCTGGAGTCGGCTCCCACTCGTGATGACCTTATGTACAGCAGAATGAAATGTTGTCCGGTCCTGTGCCATCTTCCAGATGTTGGGATGTTTGAGTCCATTGTCGCAGCTATTGTGTCAGTCCATTTCACAGAGGATTTCCCTGGTTTTTGCTGACCTTCCACTTTACCAACCATGGTGTCCTTTTCTAGCAATTCCTGATGATGTGTCCAAAGTAAGCGAGCCAAAGCCTCACCATCCTCACTTTTAAGGAGCACTCTGGCTGTATGTCCTCCAAGACTGATTTGTTCAGTGCACTTGCCCTTATTTGACAGTCTTGACAAGAGCAACAAGGACAGAAGGAGATATGTGGTTAGGTGACAAGACTGCTGTCTGAGTGCTGAGGGAGGGCACGATATTAAAACCTGGACTTCTTGGAAGAGGGTGGGGGTGGGAGTCGCCTTGATAGAAAACTACAAGTCACCAGCATTCCAGAGAGCATGGCTAGCAGGGGTAAGTTGAAGGTGGCCAAAATGTGCTTTCATTTTGGAATGGCATGTAGGATTCAGTCTCATGCCAATTCCAGTCCATTGGTAGTGACTCAGTGGAGTTCCTAGACCTAATAACACACTTCAAAAGGCAGGATGCAAAAACTGGTAGAACCACAAGGAAAAATAGACAAATGCATAAATATAATCAGATATTTCATTACCCCATTCCCAATAGTTAACAGAACAAGTCGTCAGAAATTAAGCAAGGCTATAGAAGATTTGAACAACATTATCAAACAACTTGACCCAATTGACATTTGCAGAACATTTGACCCAATTGGAGCAGCATTCACATTCTTTTCAAGTGCACATGGAACAGTTACCGAGGTAAAAAGTAGTTATACCATTTGTTCCATGTCCTGGAAAATATTTTGTCTTGTTAGTTCACTTTCACTATTCTGGCGGTGATTTTTTTTCTATTTGTTGTCAAGTAGATTCTACTCCTGACAACCCCATGTATGTCAGAGTAGAACTATGCCCCGTAGGGTTTTCAGTGGCTGATTTTTGGAAAGTAGATCACCAGACCTTTCTTCTGAGGTACCTCTGGGTGGACTTGAACCACAAACCTTTCAGTTAGCAGCCAAATGCCTTGACCATTTGCAACACCCCAGGACCCCAACAAACCATGGCCATTGCTTATATCTGCTGCAGGAATTTTTCCAAATCCAAACGGTGGTTACAGAAACAGTTTCACAGAGAAAAAAAATTTTCTGCCTCTCCGGAAACCAATTCTTAATGGGAACAATCTTTCTTTTCAAGTAACGTTACATATGAATGTCACATCTGGTGGGGAGTAATGGTCTCATTGGATCCATATGCGTTTTAGTTAGTGACGGAATACACTGTCACATATCAGCAAATAGGTATAATGATTGGCATTTGGTTTCTAAAGCAAATTGAATTTTTATAAGACTGTCAGATAAATCTGTGAGCCTTGACTATACAAACATGAATTTGGAGGATGATTGGTTAATTTCTTCCTAGTAGTAATGCCTGTGATTGAGTCCATCCCATACGGTGTTTAAGATGCTTTATCTCAGGCTGATCTTGCTCAGAGTTGCAAATCTTGGTGATTCTGGAATACCTTTGAAAATCATTAGTGTCTTTTTAACATAATTGTGCTGTTCGCTCATTTTTTTCCAGAGGGAAAAACACTAAGCATTCTGGAAGTGCATATGAATTACTTGGTCATAGAAGTAGGTGGTTGTAATCTTCACGTGTGGAAGTGTAATATAGTATCCCATTAAGCCAAGTCCTTTAAATGCTCCTGGTGCATTTACAAGGAGCCCTGGTGGCTCAGTGGGTAAAGCAATTGACTGCTAACTGGAAGGTCAGCGGTTCAAACCCACTAGCGAATCTTTGGAAGAAAGATGTAGCAGTTTGCTTCTGTAAAGATTTACAGCCTTGGAAACCCTATGGGGTCACTGTGAGTTGAATTGGTTTGGGTTTTTGGTGCATTTACAGAATGGACTTAGAGTCCCTGTGAGTGTAACCTTCCATCAGGACTCCACAAAGGAGAATGCCTGGCAGGGGACTGAAGGCTCGCTTCGGGAATTTTCTCATTGCCAGGATGCTTTCTCATTCTCTCTTTTTTGGTAAAATTTGTGTTTTAGTTCTTTACAAACTTCCACTAGATTTATTATCTCCTGAGGGGGAAAAGAAAGGGAAAAAAAAAAAAAAACAAACTATGAATTGAAGAGTTGAAAAGCTCTTCCTTTACTTTTTCAGCCAGAAGAACTAGCTACAAGTCCACACAGTTTTAAGAAAAAGGCCTTTAAGAAGTCCAAAGTCTGTGGAGTCTGCAAGCAAATTATTGACGGCCAAGGTATCTCATGCCGAGGTAAGTCCATGTAAACAAACAAAAAAGAAAATAAAACGTCCTCTCGGGAGTTTCCAAAAATTGAATCGTGGAATTCCCCTCCTTAGCCTATGTTTACCCCCTTACTTGGCAGGGACCAACCTTATTTACACAAATATGTGTTCATGTGAAAAATTTTCCAGCAAGTGCAAAGCTACTCATGTGGAACAGTGGACAACAATTCTTCATTCTGTTGTGTAGTGTCAGTAACTCGGTTTATTCAGGTTTACTTTCTGAACTCTTAGTGAAGTTTACAAATGAAATTTTTATATCATTCTGAGGTCAGAGTTCATTTAGATATGCCACCTTCCAACCTGTTGTTAAGGCGTTACTCATATCCCTAAACTAAGCCACTAGCTTTCAGATTTGATATTGAAACATCATGTAATTAGGGGAACTTACAAATAGTTTTGTGATTGTACATTTATAAATTTGTGCAGTGGCTATGTGAATATGATTTCTCTTGTTTCCCTTGAACCCCTGGGATTGGGGCTGAAGGAAAGGGATGCTGGCGGTTCAGTGGGTGTGCCGTCACAGACGAGAGGCGTGGGGGGCTAGGCCCTTGGTGAATACTTGGGGTTGCTCTTGGACATCTTATCATTTATGGGGTTTTAAATTTCAAGAAAGAGGTTTACCTGTGCTTTATGGACTGTGCAAAGGCATTTGACTTTGTGGATCATAACAAATTATGGATAACATTGTGAAGAATGGGAATTCCAAAACACTTAAATCTTCCCACGAGGAATCTGTTCATCGACCAAGAGGCAGTCATTTGAACAGAACAAGGGGATATTTCGTGGTTTATAATCAGGAAAGGTGTGTGTCAGGGTTGTATCCTTTCACTGTGCTTAGTCAGTCTGTATGTTGAGCGCATAATCTGAGAAGCTGGACTGTATGAAGAAGAACGAGGCATCAGAATTAGAGGAAGACTCATTAACAACCTGCAATATGCAGACGACACAACCTTTCTTGTGGGAAGTAAAGAGGACTTGAAGCACTTACTGATGAAGATCAAAGACTACAGCGTTCAGTATGGATTGTTGTTGCTAGATGCCACTGAGTTGGTTCCGATCCATAGCAACCCTATAGGACAGAGTAGAACTGCCCCATAGCGTTTTCAAGGAGCGGCTGGTGGATTTGAACTGCCAACCTTTTGGTTAGCTCCGAGTTCTTAACCACTGCGCCACCAAGGGCTCCTCAGTATGGATTAGACCTCAACATAAAGGAAATGAAAATCCTCACAACTAGATCAATAAACATTATGATAAATTCAGAAAAGATTGAAGTTGTCAAGGATTTCATTCTACTTGGATGCATAATCAACATCCATGGAAGCAGCAGTCAGGAAATCAAGCGACATATTCCGCTGGCCAAATCTGCTGCAAAGGACCTCTTTAAAGTGTTAAAAAGCAAAAATGTCACTCAGAGGACTAAGGTGCGCCTGACTCAAGCCATGGTATTTTCAGTCACCTCATATGCATGCAAAAGTTGGACAGTGAACAAGGAAGACCAAAGAAGAATTAACCCTTTGAATTATGGTGTTGGTGAAGAATATTGAATATACTACAGACTGCCAGAAGAATGAACCAATCTGTCTTGGAAGAAGTATAGCCATAATGCTCCTTAGAAGCGAGGATGGTGAGACTCCATCTCATGTACTTTGGACATGTTATCAGGAGGGACCGGTCTCTGGAGAAAGACATTATACTTGGTAAAGTAAAGGATCAGCAAAAGAGAGGAAGACCATCAGGAAGACGGATTGACACAGTGGCTGCAACAATGGGCTCAGACAGCAAAGATTTTGAGGATGGCGCAGGACTGGGCAATCTTTTATTCTGTTGTACATAAGATCGTTATGCTTCAGAACTGACTCTACAGCACCTAACAACAACAACAACAACGAATTTCCTCTCTGGAAAATTTCCAGGGCCTTGACTGCTGGATTTAATGTTGTGGTAGAGCTGTCTCTTCCTCTGTGGACTGCCTGGCAGATGGTCCTTGATGACTGTTTTGGAGTAATGTGGCTGTGAAAGGAAGACACACACTATTCAAGCTTTAGTGCGTATAGAATGTGACCTGGGGTCTCTAAGGGTCTCTTGAGATTCCTTCAAAGCTAAAGGGTCTGGGTCATGGCAGGAAGGCGTGTGTCCTCTTCTTCTCTGAAGAGGCTCTCCTAGGTGGCCAGTCTAGATGAACCCGCTCTGTGTGGGAGTACTGCATTATCCCCTCCTCTTCTTCCCCTTACAGTCTCCTTGTACCTCCCACCCCTGAGGCCTGTTCTTGCCTTCTGGAAAACCCAGAAGTCCACCCCTCTGCCTGCCTCCCTGCCACCCCCAGGTGTCTCTGTTTCAGAGTGGGCTTCTCAGAGCTTGTGTCTCCCCTTTGCCTTCTTCCTCGGATGCATTCTTCTTGTGATGGGGCTCTGGAGGCACCTCTTCACCCCGAGAGGAACTGAAGCATCACTTGTGTGTGTAAGTACTGGGCAGAGATCAGCTCCCGCTGGATAGAGCCATACTGAGGGATCTCCCCGAGGCTCCTCTCCACCCTATCCCACCCACCAGCAAGCTCACTGTGAGATTGAGAAGGGGGGCTCAGAGGGTCCTGCTTCCCCTGTGGACACGCAAGGCTCTGCACAGGACCTGGTCTTCCCTTGTGACCAGGAGGCGTCAGCTGTGATGTGCTAATGGGAACTTCACGGGGCTGCTGTGCTGTCACAGAGCCTGGAACACGTGTGCGGCATGAGGCACCCAGGGGCAGGTCTATCCTATATTAGGCAGATCCCATAGCAAACAGACAGCATGCTCCAGTGGGCTAATTGAGGATTTATTTACAGAGTTTGGGTGTGGAAGAACCACCAGGGAGAGTGCAGCTGTGGAGGGCTCTGGCAGCTGAGCTGCCAGCACCCTAGATCTCCAGGGAGACGAGAGGGAGCTGGGCATTATTGGTGACCTGGAGTGGACCAGGGTCCTCTGGTCGCCTGAGGGCTGCAGCTAGCCAGAGGTGACCTTGCAGGGAGGATGGCCTCCCTTCCCTCTGTATGTGTGCTCTCCTTGGGGGCTCCCAGGGGCTGGGAGCGAGCTAGCAGCCAGAGGACCAGTGAGCCATGGATGTCACTGAAGCCAGCCTCCAGTGCAGAGATCAGATTGATGTGATGGAAAACTTCCACGAGCCCATGTTTGAGTGACATTCTGGCTTAGCCCACGGGGGATGTTTTTTATCACCTTTGTCATTTCCACACACTGCATGTCAAACTCAGGAAAGGTGCTCTAACTCTAAGACAGTGGCTTCTGTTTGCAGAGCCCTGCAAATGTAAAGTGACGAGAAGTAACATTGCCTGTGCTCTGAGTGTCACCCTCCTCCATGCAGGCTTGCTCCACATGCCTGGGGGTGATCCTCTGTGTTTGGCCCTCTGCTGTCAGTAGGGGCCCTGCAGCTCCCCTCTGTCCCCCAAGAACACAGCAGGAATTGGAGTCCTAGGAATTCTCTCCGTATTTTGAACCCCATTTTCTTGTGCTTATCAGCTAGGTTACACACCTAGCTATGATTTCTAAATGTGAATTCTCAAGTTTGGAAATAAGAAAAATGAAAATCATCATTGAAGCAGATGTCACGTGGTCAGCATAGTCAAGAGGGCTGAGGAATTGGGGCCGACTGGTTGTGCTCCAGATCCTTCTCACACCCTGGGGTGGGTGAGCTGGCTGAGAGCTCTGGCCCTTGCTGGCTCAGAGAGGGTGGTGGCCCTGTTGGCAGAATGCCTGGAGGGCGTGGCAAGAGTGCACGGCGCCCCACAGTGTTAGCTGGGCTGTCGTCTCGTTTCCTTGATGGAGCTGGCATGGCGTGGGCAACACCCACAGAGGACACCATGTGGTCTGTTCTTGGTTCATCACCCTGTGTGTTGGTACGGTCAGCAGGCCCACTATCCAGGAGGTGCACACAGCTGGTCCAATGCATGCTGCATGGGAGACGGTGCAGCTCTGACTCGGGAACACAGGCTGGTGGCTCAGACAGACCTGGGCTGGAGGCTGGGCTCTGCCACCACGCATTTGAGTGGCCAAGTCTCTAACCCATCTGAGTCTATAAAATGGGTATGATGATTTCTGCTCCAGAGGGCTAATGGGGGGCTTATGTGAGATGGGGCGGGTAAACCTCTCAGCCAGATTTCTAGTAACTAGTTTTGTTTTTGACATTAGGAGGCTTTTTCCTGATTGTACCCAGCTGAGGTGTCCTAGATGGTCCTGCTTGGTGGACGTCACACTTGCTCTTGGGTTAACAGCTGCACACACACAGATTGTGAATGTGTAGACCCCATGTAGATGAGCCAGAGCGGGGGTCCTCTAAATAAAATGGCTTTGTTTCCCAAGATTTGTAACTTGGATTTCGGTTGCACTGTATTGTCTCATTTGAAGAGTAGTTTTTCTTCTTTGTATGAATGAGGCCTGAGTTAATTAAGAGCTATCCTAAACGTCCTTTTTAATGCCTCTATAGTTCTGTTTTTACCACCTGCAAGAGGTATTTGTTATTTTCACAGTGAATAGAACCAGTGAAATCGAAGTAGCTTTGAGAAGGCCGTACACCCAGCATGCAGGATTCACACACGGCTGGTGCACCTTCAACAGCAGGGAGCCTGTCTCCCCTTGGCTCCAGGAGGGTGTTCACTGTCTCCCGGCCCCTTCCTGGGGTTTGCGGGGAGCATGCGTGTTGGGGCTTCTTTATCCTCCACTGTCCTGCAGGCCCCTAGATTTATCCTCTGCTTCAAAATGGGCTCTGTTTTGTGGCACTTTTGATATGTAGCATGTGAACTGTTTAGGGAGGGCTGATAGGGGCCAGTCACGGTGGTGTGGGCATGCTTGTGATCGTATATGCGTGGGTGTGCAGGCATGCCTGTGTGCGCGTGTTGTGTGAGCACACGTTCCGTGGAGTGAGAGTCCAGAGGTGCATCTCTGTGCTCGGGACTCTTTGCACAGTTCACCTGCTCCACATCA